AAATACGGCTGTTTTGATTTCCCATGATTACACTAATGCAGTGCCTAATGACTGATATGTGGCCACTGTTGTTTTATTGTTATTCTGTTTCCACAAAATTTCCTTCAGTTTATGAAATAAAGGATCATCAGAGAATCCTGATGACCTCAGGGACACTGATGTCTTGCATTTGCAGAAAGATCTCTCCACAAGCTTCTGAACCAGCTAGACAGCAGATGATGAGTACATTTATTTTTATAGATTATAATTCAGTAGTTTTAAACTGAACATTCAGATTTAACATTTTATCAGTCTCAAAAAGAAAAAAAAAATGAAGGTTTGCATTGCTTTAAGCACCTGATATACCCTCTGCAAAGTTATTTTTGTAGAGGGGTAAAACATGCATTTAATTTACATTCCTCTTTTGAAATTGTCACAGCAGTTTGAAATTATTTATAGGAAGCTTATTCTGAAAAGACAGTGTTTAAAAGTTATGTATATCTAAAAAATGTAAAGTAACTGGTTAAAAATGTAGTGTGAAACTCTTTGGTAATAGGATTGTTTTACAAATGCAGTGTCTTGTGTGATAATAGAAATCAAAAATTCAAACCTTTGGGATGGTTATATTTTTAAAGAAATCTCCTGTGTTCACCTAGGCTGCGTCAGCTCAATTTGATCTATTTTATCTATTGTTTGATGCAATTTATTCTTGCAGTTACAAAGCTGAATTTTTTAGCATAACTGCAATCTTCAGTGTCACACGATCCTTCAGAAATCATTTTAACACATTTGGTGTTCAAGGAACATGTTAGATTATTATCAATGCTTTAAAAATGCGTACTGACCTCAAACTTTTTGAATGTTAATGTAAATAGCACACGTACAATGTAGGAATGAAGTGTGGGTTACATTAAATACTGCCAAAATATTTTACTCATTTATATTTAAAGAGAAAAGAAACCTAAGACTCGGTTATGTTCGGTTGTTTGTACTGTCTGCTGCCTGTGGTTAGATGCTTTCGAGCGGGATACCATGACCTGGATCTGAGCTGTGGAAAGGCATTTCAAGACCCAAGCTGTCTTATGTGATCCAGACTGAAATGATGGACATTTAATGAGTTAAGATGAAACACTATACCCTGGAGATGTGGACAGACGAGCAGCCAAGACAGACTGTTTCAACATTTCTGCATCTCTCTTGGCAGGTCAAAATAACAGGTCATAGGAGTAGATTGTTTTTGCTAAATTTCGTTTTTCTAGTCTCACATATGTCTTATATAATGGTGCTCTGCAACATCACACAGCATGCACAGCGGGCACGCCATTATTCTGTCTGAACAAAACCAGAATGTACTTTGAATGATTTTATGAGATGCTTCTGAGTACGTTTTGCCAGTATATTAAAGTTTAACTTACTGAGTAGGCCATTGACCAATAGGTGGCAGAAGACGTCAATATGATGATAGATGGGTACGGGACATGTGCTCCACTGATCACTAATATGAAGCACACCGATCCAAAGGGGATGTGCAGGCCCGCTGTCAATCTACAGTACACCCACTGAACTCCACAGAAAAGAAAAAAAAAACATATTCCTTGATTCTTGAATGTTGATTTCTTAAGCATTTTGGCTAAATTGATGATGCTTTCACCCAGCAGAAAGAGTGTAGTATACAGCTTTTATTAAAAATAATTCTCCATTCTCCAAAAAAACTTTTTAAAACCAAGCTCTAATAATTAGTCCCAAATGTAGGACAGAAACATCCAAAAATTCCTTTAAAAGTCCTAAATTGCATCCTAGGTCTCTAGGTTTGCTAGAAATAAGCCTGAAATAAGGTGACAGAAACTTACATTTCTTGTGTACTTGATGCACACTATTGTTCAAAAGTTTGGCCTTCATGAGATTTTTAAATATGTCTGAAATGATGTATTTGATTCAGTAAAGATCAATTTAATTTATTCTTTGATTTCAATGATGTATTTTCATCCTTATTACTTCAGTCTTCAGTGTCACATGGTACTTCAGAGATTATTCTAATATACTGATCTGGTACTCAAGAAACAATTCTGTATATTAAACGGTCGAAAACCATTTTCTGCTTAATATGTTTGTGGAAACTAATGCATTCAAATTAGAAACCATTTTGTCACTCTTGAGAGAATTAAATAATTTGTTTAAAAAGGTCATTTTACCTCACGACATTTGAAGTTTTACAGTGTAAATGAAGACACGAGATTATTGCATGACTCACTTTGTGAGCATGTTGGTCTTATTCAAAAATACTGTAACTTACACCAAAGGCGTAACCTCCAGTAAGAGGGTCATTATTCCACAATAAACCACAATAGCGTTTTGTGCAAACGATTGTCTCTCTGTGCATTATCCCACTTGTTAAATGGCATGTTGCCAAATAAATAACTAAATGGATGCTTGAGCTGAAATTATTTTAGAATGTTAAAAGAAAGAGGCTATGGAGACCCGTGTTATACAGCCATGGAAATTGGTTGTCAGGCAACGATCAAATATACAGTTTAGCAGTCATAAAGTGTAAACACTTGACCACAGACTGTCAGAATCAGAATCGAGTGCTCCAGAGAGCCATGTAATAAAAACAACTACTGTGGCATAGTGAATGCGAATCAATTTATAGCTCTAAAAAAGAACCATATGTGGAACATAAACCAACGAAACATTTGCTAAACATTTGAGCTGGCAACTAAAACTATCAGAGGAAATCCAACATTTGTAACATGTAACATTTTCTTTCATGTCATTTATCTCCTTGCACAGACACATAAGTTAGCAGAACCAAATCTTAATATATTCAAGCTAAACTGGAATCTCTGAAAACGCTGTGTTAGAAAACACTGATCTAATGACCATACTGCCGTTTTGCATCTCCCCAGGAGTCTTGTGTGCTGTTATTTTACACTACTTTAGCCTGACAAGTCAAACCAAATGCTTCTTTTCTGGTGTGATTTATTTCTCACAGTTTCTGCTAAACGATTTTGTTTTGAGACACCAGGACCACTGTTTTCCTGCAAACTTGCGTCATTGTGATCTCACCGGATTTGTCAACAGTTACATGACTTGTTGTCTGACGATTATTGTGACAGAATAATGCTTGATAATTTATTTAGTATTTTTCTCTCATTGAGACCACTCTGGATTTGTTTAGTGCTGTAAGCTTAATGGGTTCATTTTGAAAGTTCTTGAGACTTTGAAAAATCAAGAAGAGCATTGAAGCATATTGTTGATATAAGGAAACAAGATGAGAAATATTTTAGTGCAAAATTGTTTTGTGAGACCTTTCTGGAAATTCCCATCAATATTTTAGATTTGTGCAAGACCTAATTTATGAATGTGAAGTAGGGTTGGGCTGATGGACGATGCCATCATCCATCGCCGATGGCCATCAAACTTCACGATGCCAAGCCAGTATCGCGATCCATCACCCCGATCCACATTTATGTTGATATATAACTTATTATTTGCATGTCATTTTAATAGCAATAACAGTCTTTTCATGAGCTGTGTTAAACGTTACATATAGCTACCGCTTGCATGGCTGACAGCATCATGAGGATTAAATGAAGGATTATACAGTACCTCTCGCGCTTAAAATGTGTAGATTCAGTTGCAAACGCTGTTACCTGCAAACCCCGTCCCACAGACTTTACAGTGAATGTCTTTAGTTATTTTCATAGCGGACTTTAAGCCACTAGAAGTCTTTTTTCCACTCTTGGAAAAGTGTAAATAGTAGATTAACATTCTGCACATGATCACTAATAAGATGTGCCATTATTATTAAGGTGTATTCTAAAACAAAATCTGTCAGTGTTATTTTCATTCTCTCATCTTGTAGCTCCTGCCATCTGAAGGCAGAAGGCATTGACTGAGTGATTGATAGCTGATATTAACCAATCATTCTCGTTCCGTTCTAGAGCAGTGGGCCAATAAGAACACTAAGACGGGGCAAGCATTGCAGGCTTTTTTTACTTCAACAAGTTCACATAACAACTGTTTATCTGTTCCTGAGTGCTGCGTTTGGCATTTTTACGTTCAAAGATGCATTCTGCATAAATGTCTTCTAAATCCACGCAGGATGTTGCAATGAAAACAGTAAAAATGTATTTTAAGGTCGCATATAAAATTTTGGGCGCATATGCGACCAAAACGGTTTAGCCCTAGCATCTTTACTTTATTATTTACTCATAATAATAATAAAATAAGGAAGTTATCGTCAATCTCAATACAAATTACAGTGAACTCCAAACGAAGTCTCCTCCACCAGTTGTGGGAAAAGCCATTAGAATGACACAGATCACTTTGCCTATTCATGCCAGAGTCCTGCGTAAAAAAAAAGTGATTGACAGGTGATCATTTGTTTGTAACTTTTATGGTTTGGTTATAGGTAAATCAAAGACCATATGGGTCAGGTAGTGAAAACGGTAGGTACAATTAATTAATTTGTTAGAATTCATTGATATTTAACAATGACCCCCACCTCCCTCGCCTACGACGGCGGTGCCATCGTCCATCGCAATGTTTCACATTAGACATCATACGATGCCAAATTGGTCAACATCACCCAACCCTAATGTGAAGTCTATATCAAAAATGAAAGACATGAAATTTCTTTATAAACAAGGACTAAGCTTCACATTGAAAAGTAGACTAAAAAGGCGTGTTGAAGAAAAACGAAAAACGTGAAGATTCTATAAAACAGTGAAGATGAATTAAACCTGTACAATTGTATTTCTGCTTTTTTCTTAATAATTATTAAACAAATATGTGAAGTAAAAAATTATTTCAAAAGGCTTTACCTGTGTTAGATGTCTTTAAAATAAAAACATGTTGATTTTAACAGCTCAGTTTAAATGATAATTTTAGTTTGAATTCACACCCATGAACTAGAAGGCAGCCTTATAGTTCTTCATTTCCCCTCTGAATTTAGCTTTTGATTACACCTGAACAGAATGTAAACAGACGATTCATCAATTCTGTTTCCCTCTGTGTAGGAGCTGAAACTATCAAGAAGTACTGGAGCCGATATTATCAAGGTTCCCAAGGAGTAGTGTTTGTCCTCAACAGTGCCGCGTCAGATGAAGAGATGGAGGCATCCCGGTCTGAGCTCCACCTGGCCTTACAGCATCCTCAGCTGTGCACCCTTCCTTTCCTCGTCCTCGCCAACCACCAGGATTCACCAGCTGCCCGTTCTGTATCAGAGGTATGGTAACTTTCCACACCAAATATAGTTCTATGTCAAGTGCTGACTGTCTTCTCTGTGATCCTCCGCTGTTGAGGGTTGCTGGCCTCTGTTTGTACACACTCTCTGAAGTGTTTGGACTGAGCGATGGGAAGCATGCATTTTGGAGAGCGTCCTGTTGCCATGCAATAAGAGCTGTTGTTTATGGTCAGTCTTGGGAGATTACAGTACGGGGCTGGGATAGGATGTTTTGGGGAGCTCCCCCTCCCTATTGCGTCTTAGAACTAGGACTGACGATGTAAACATGCTGTGACGTGGGCTGGCTGACTAATAGTCTGTTTCCACACACTGAGAAAACCCGGTAGAGGTTGTTCTCCTCCAGAGGAAGTATGACTGAGCTGCAGGAGGCACTTGAAATTTTCCAAGTATGTATTAAATCTAGACACAGACGTAAGTATGGCAATCTGGAGCTAGAGTTATGCATCAAAGACTGGAAAATATCCATCGATACACGGATAACGTGTACATTTTTAAAAGAAGTTTAGCAGAATTTAAAGGGACAGTTCATTCAAAAATTTTAATTGTGCCATCAGTTGCTCATTCTCCACTTGTTTTGTTAAACACAAAAGAGGATATTTGGAAGAAAATGTAACCATTGTAAAGATGATATTGGGTTGGCAGTTCAATCCTGTGATCAGATGTAGACCACAGATTGAAGCAAGTTAATCCCTCCTCTGCTGACTCCTTCTAGCCAGTCAGGCTGAAGGTATATCCACAGCAGATTACCAATTTACAACTGATTGTATTTTAAAAACATTTTGCGTTCTTAGAGATGCAGACTGTTATTATTAATCCTGTATCTGGCACCTTTTGGCTCCCCCAACAGAAACTGTTATCTGTGACGCAGTTTAAGAATTCAAACAGATGCCTGTTGGCTAACTCCACAGATTATATCACTGGCCAATAAATGTGTCTCACAATTGAACAATTTAGGCTTGAAAAGCACTTTTTTATTTTCAGGTTTATTCGTTCCTTAATGTGTAGACTTAATAGAAAGGTAAGGTTATATGTCAAGTACTGTAGATCTGTAGAGTATTAGTAGAGGGTTATGAGACTGTTATGGCCCTGATATACATCAAATTAAAACAGTTGAGAAGGCTGAGTGACGTATACTGTTTTCAACACTCACACCCACGCACTGTAGTAGATGGGGTTGTAAATGTGTCATGCTGCTTGCGTGTACCCATAAACACAATGGTGGCTGAGAGAAAAACGATTTCATAAATATCTGGCAAACAGCCTTCTCCACGAGAATCGGCACATAGTTTTGCACATCTTTTCCTTTTTGTTGTGAACAGACACTGAATTGTGCCGTTAGGGTGTCATGACAAGGTGGGCTTCTCGTCCAATGTGAGACTTCCTCCAAGTTTTGAAAATCTTTTGGTGAAAGAATTAGGGGTGCATGATTATCCGAAAAAAGATCACAAATTTCGACCCTACACACGATCTAATATCAGCTTTTCTACGGTTCAGCCAATTATATTTTCAAGGTCAGGAGAGAAGTGTAAAGGCGGATGCACAAGTCTTCACAGTTGGCTCAGTTGGTGTTTCTGTGTGGAGTTTGCATGTTCGCATGTGTTTCCTCTGGGTGCTCTGGTTTCTCCCACTAGGGCTGGGTATCGAGTTCGATACTTTTTAAGCACCGAATCGTCTTGATACTATCGAGTATCGAAAAAATAATTTTCGTTCGGTACCAAATTTTGATACCCAAGTGTATAATCTGGTCAACATCAGTGAGCTAGAAAACCTGCGGCATCCTTAACGTGCCCGGATCAAATGCTGGTGATTGGCTGCAGCGAGGCTGTCTTGAATATCAATAGTTTATGGCGGTTACGCCCACTCGCTCAGAGCTTGTCAAATGTGAGGCTGTAATGCGTACACTACACTTTAAAGCATTTTTGCATTGTTTGACTGCAAGAAGATCACGCCGGCGCAGTCATCTTAACAACGTGCCCACCACAAGCGTCGTCCTCCGTGACAGAGGAGGATAACTGCGCGATGGCTGGGGTTCCGAAAGGTAACCGAAAGGTTTCGCTTTACTTCAGGACGCATTAACACCGCTCTGAAGGTCTAATCGCTGTTTTAAGTTATCCAGATCTGTATGAATCTACAAATCTTGAATATCACGATATTATTAAATATTACAATTGTAACAACACAGACAGCAACACTTTTGCACAATCGATTCCCAGCTGATTCAGTCGTTTCATAAGAGGACCGCGCTTCTTCTCTTCTTTTTTCCTTGTCATCATAAAGGCAGTGAGATGCGCCTTGTTTTCGGCCCCTTGTTCAACTGCAAGACATATTTAACTTGCGGGACGATAACGTATAACCGGTGCCTACAGACACATTTGCCAAAGAAGCAAAATGGAAGAAGAATATTGCTGTTTAACAGACGTGTTGATGCCAAACCAGCGCGTACGTTGACCTGGATCTGCGAAATAAACGCAACAAATAGGCTTTACCTTTTATTTAACAGCTTATAAAGCATGTATGCACATTAATGCAATATCATATTTAAACAAAACTTTTACAAAAAGTCAACATATGCGCGCGTTGTTGTTGTCTATTCTATTGTTGTTGTCTATTTCTATTGAAAATGTAAAAGGTTTTGTGATTTATAATAATAACAGCGGGGCATTAAATAAAGGCATATTTTTCTGTGGAGCAAGCAATTTGAGGAAGTCAGCTATTTTTATTTGACGGAAGAAAAAAACATATGATTGGAAAAAAACAGCCTATGCCGGTTATTAAAAAGAATCAGTCAGTATTTTCGTTTTGTAATATAAATTAATTATTTAAGTGGAAATAATTTAGGGCAGTCCTATTTATTTTATTCATTTTATTTAGTTTATTCTGCTCTTCTGTGCTAAACACTGCAGGTGCGAAGATGCACCTTATTATTGTTCTATTATTAATATGCTAGCATATAAAAAACAAATCAGTATTTTAAAATGCAATATTTAATGTGTTGGACACAAAATAGACACGTCAATTTGTTTAATATAAAATTAATAGTAATCTGACCAGTTAATCGTTAATAACCGATTAATGAGCGGCGGTTGTCGGTTAGCAAAATTAACCGAAATGAACATCCCTACTTCGTATAATTTTCAGTGGCTGGTGTGGCACAGATGGCAGAACTCGCCGAACAGATCCGCCACTTTTGACGCTCATAAACAATCATAAAGCCCTCGTGCTGCAGGAATTATGAGGTTGCTGATGGTGCGCAGCTGTCGTGCAGTAAGGGGTTTGCATTTTTAATAAACTACAGACAGTTTGCGTTCGCTGAACAGTAAGAATGATTCATAAATCCATATGAAACACCCCCTTAAAGGCAAGGCAAGGCAAGGCAAGTTTATTTATATAGCACATTTCATACACAGTGGCAATTCAAAGTGCTTTACATAAAGAAGAATAAACTAGACAAGTTTAGGAACATAAAATGCAGACAATAAAAATGATTAAAAACAGATAAAAACAAATTAAAATGGGTTAAAATAGGTTATAAAAGAATGAAAAAGAAATCGAAAAACATAATAGTGCAATCTGTCGGATGTCGCACAGTGCTCATACAGTAAAGGCACAGCTAAACAGATTTGTTTTCAGTCATGATTTTAATGTGCCTAATGTTGGAGCACATCTGATCATTTCTGGAAGCTGATTCCAGCAGCGAGGGGCGTAGTGGCTGAAGGCAGATTCACCCTGCTTTGACTGAACTCTTTGAATTTCTAGTTTATATGATCCTAAAGATCTGAGTGATCTGTTGGGTTTGTATTCAGTGAGCATATCTGTAATGTATTGAGGTCCTTGGCCATTTAGTGCTTTATAGACAAGTAATAATACTTTAAAATCTATTTTGAATGTAACTGGCAGCCAGTGTAAAGACCTGAGGACAGGTGTGATGTGCTCTGATTTGCTGGTTCTGGTCAGAATTCTGGCCGCAGCGTTCTGGATGAGCTGTAACTGTCTGACTGTCTTTTTGGGAAGGCCAGTGAGGAGGCAATTGCAGTAATCCACCCTGCTGCTGATAAAAGCATGAACAAGTTTCTCTAAGTCTTCACTGGAAACAAAGCATCTGATTCTTGCAATATTTTTGAGATGATAGTATGCTGATTTACTAACTGCTTTGACATGACTTTTGAAACTCAGATCTGACTCCAGAGTCACACCAAGATTCTTGACCTTATTTTTTGTTATTTGACCCTTTAAGCCAAGGTATGCATTCACCTTGAGAACCTCATCTCTGTTCCCAAATGCAATGACTTCAGTTTTCTCTTTGTTTAACTGAAGAAAATTTTGGAACATCCAATTGTTAATTTCATCAATGCATTGGCAGAGGTTGTCAATGGGGCTGTAGTCATTAGGCAGTAAGGCTAGGTAAATCTGAGTGTCATCAGCATAGCTGTGGTAGGAGATTTGGTTCTTTCTCATTATTTGGCTCAGGGGGAGCATATAAAGGTCGAACAGGAGCGGTGCCAGAATCAAGCCTTGTGGGACTCCACACGTCATGGGTGTCCACCTCGACCTGTGGTCACCTATACTGACATAGTAACCTCTCCCTTCAAGGTAAGATCTGAACCATTTGAGGACTGTCCCAGACTGCCCAACCCAGTTTTACAGCCTATCCAGAAGTATGCTGTGATCGACAGTGTCAAATGCAGCACTTAGATCGAGCAGTACCAGCACTGTTATTTTACCTGAATCTGTATTTAGGCGTATATCATTGATTATCTTTATAAGAGCGCTCTCTGTACTGTGATGTGCTCTGAAACCAGATTGAAAATGGTCTAAACACCCCCTGAAGTTTAAGAACTTGTTGACCTGGTTGAAAACAACTTTTTCAATGATTTTGCCAATGAAAGAGAGATTTGAGACTGGTCTGTAATTGCTCAATAGGGTGTTTTCCAGGTTGCTCTTCTTTAAGAGGGGTTTAACAACTGCAGTTTTAAGTGAGTTTG